CTATAGTCGGCAACAGTGCGCAGTAGTACGCAGCAACGAACAACAGGTACCAGCAATATGCAGCCGCCAGCAGCTGGCCACAGTCTGTGCACGGTAAAAAAAAGTAGCAAATGTGCACAACCAACAACAACAGTGGTCTTTCGCGCACAACCAACAGGACAAGCAGCCGTGCATAATCAACACACAGCAACAGTTTCCCCAGCCTGTAGCGGTCAGCAACAGCCAGCCGCAATCAGCAGCAGACCCTTTGCGGATCGTCTTCACAACGATAGCCCCACCGCTTAGCAACAATTACACCAGTCTGTAGTAGACTTCAACAACTGCTATTCGCAGACACTGCAGTCATACGACTTTCAAAACCACCATACTTATGCCAGCACAGTAGTCCTCAATAAGCTTAGCAACCGCTGCTGCAGCACGACAGTCGAGGCAGACCGTGAAGCTCACAAAAAAAAAAAACAGCAAGGAACGTTGCGCCTTCGCCACCTGCTTCTTCCTCTTCACTACTTTGGGTAGCAGAACGAACAACGCCCAATTAACAGATAAGTCCACAGTCTACAGTTCGTCTCCCGCTATCCTTCCCATAGACAAGTCACGCAGCGTCCTCGTCACTAGGTAAGCGTCAACTTAGCAGTATATCTTACTCTGGTCCCAGCAAACCGGTTCCTGCATCAATCGCCAGGTACACCCTGGGGCCGTGGTCTGCCACTTCTGCTCAAGAGGACCTGCGCTGCATTGCCCTGACAGTTAAGCGAGTCTGTAGTCTTCTTGGTTGGCTTGCTACTTCTACTGCTTTAATGGGATACACAATGGATGACCAAGGAAGCTCCTGCATGCCGAGACCTCATTTGTTACCGGGACTGACCAGATAGACCACTTCTCCAAACGTATTCAATGCCACCCAGCCCCTAGATCGGGCTCACTCCTCATAGTGCAGATGGATGCCTCCAATTCCACACAGTCACTCCCTTCTGGGGTAGCAGCATCCGCGATGGGCCGTACCTAGCAGCAGTTGCAACTTGCTAAAGTAACCAGCGGATAGCAGTTGCCAAATGCGACACAACAACAAGCTTCATGCAGCAGTGGGCAGAAGCAGTGTGGTCAGTAGCAGACTGTAGCCGACCAATACAACTGCAACCGTCCGTAGCAACCTTATACTCAAGCTTCGGTCGCACGCGGCTCCATCCCACAAGAAAGCCAGCGCCCGTGCCAAGCTTCTCGCTGCTTTTTGTCAATGAGCCGAGCCAAAATCGAACGAATCTTCCATTGGAATATGAAAGAGTTCATGCAACTTCGGCAGGGCACCCTCTTTGTTAGGTCCAGGTTAGTTGAGTGTCATCGGGACCGCCTCGTCATTTCGTCTTTCAGGTACGTAACCCTCTCCCTTACTCTACCTTCATCTGAGCTCTCTTTGCTACCTCCACCAACCCATACCACCCTTTACGCGCAGCCTCTCTCATGCATGACAGCCAAGCGAACACTCGGATCAACAATCTATCGTGGCCAGCTAATCCGCATCCTCTCAAACCTACAGAGCCGGATTTTTGGTCGCCTGTTTTCGTCCAGAAACGGATGATTCGTACAGATCCTCACTCCGTTTTCATTAGACTGCACAAAAAGAGAAAGAATCTTTCGTTAGATCAGGGGAAAATACATCCATTTTTTTTAATTTTTTTTTCTTCTACTCTCCTACGCATCCTCAGTTTCTTACATCGCCATAACCACTATCCTATTGCTAATTTCGACCGCACCACTCGATTCGTGGCGCCTCATAACCCCGGTCTCACATCCACCCTGGCCTGATTCCATCTAGAAATGGACAAGAAACACTCTTCACACTCTCTTTCTTTTTCTGACCCTCCATAGCTCCGCGCGCCCGTTTTTTTGCTCTTACTTTCTTCTCACTAAGTCTTTAAAAAACTAACTCTATACCCGGATTCGCCCTCCCTAAGAAGCCAATCTAACATCTTCTTCTTACTCAGTTTCTTCGCGGATTGAGGGAGGTAAGGATTCTCACACCCCTTCTCCCCCTCCTTCTCCGCCATAGCTCGGCGCACTAACCTCCTCTAACAACTCTTATCTCACTAATCTACTATCAAAACTAACACCGCCATTGTACTCGTCCGGGGCCAAAATCCAAAAATCGGCTCCTCCCTCGCCCGATCCTGGTAAGAGTCGAGCGAGCTACGCTTCTTTTGCTGCGCCCGACTTACTCTTCCGCCATCCTAACCTTTGATCGCACCTGGCGCGAAACCCGCCGAGGTTCATTCGGTCCTCTCTGCCTCGTCTAACGCCTGTCGCCTGCTGCCTCACCTCACGGTCTCATTACCCGTCTGTCCTGGCCACTCCGCTGTCTGTCGCTCCCCGCCTCGGCTGCAACGAGATCCAGTCGCAGATCGCGTCCGGGTGCCTCTCCTTCTCTTGCCCACTGCAACCCCGGGCTTGTTGCAGACCACCTCGCATAAGGCGCTCCAAGCAGCGCTTCCGCATGACTTACACAAGAGTGACTGAATGGTTACTCGCTGCCTCCCGATTTATACCTCTGCCGCCCGCCGATGCTCAAGCCCCAGTGGTCCCTGTCAAGCCCGACAGACGACTTCAACAGGAACTAACCACTAGCCTCCCGCAGGGTCAGGCTAGTCTTCTCTGTATCGTCCCACTTTTAACGGATGTCCCGAAGGACTTTGATCGGGACAGCGCCCTATGGCCCTTCAGCGGCTGGTCTGTGCCCCCCTGCTATCTACATGGTCTCGTCATACTCATTGGGTTCTCGATCTGGCTTGAAACTGATACCGGTCAGTTCAAAGAAAATAAAAATAATAAATAAAAACAAAAAGAGATATAGTCAATAAAAGGCTTGAGAAAAACGGGCCCGCGTTCTGCTTCCCCCACCAAAACTAAGGGGGATAGTCCTGCGGGACCCTCAACCCCTCAGCCCTTCAATGCTCCAACGCTCTTATGCGGCCGCCGGCTGGCCTCGAACCCCGCACCTCCGTCGTGTAAGTCTAGTACCGTAACCTATAGGGCTAAGCCCAAACCTGGTACCAGCACGCGCGGAATCCTATATAAGGCGGTGCGGCCTAGCGCTTAAGGCTGAGGAGATGCATTAGGCCTTGCCTCCTACCCACGCCCAGACGTGCGGCTGCCAAACAACCACGCCGGCCTTCCCAATTGTGTCATGGTCGTCCCACGTACCATCTTACATACCAAACCTGCTGCCGGTCAAGCACGACAAACGAGGGTCAATCTACTAATCCTTAGTCTAATCAGAAATGCAAACTCAAGCCGGACATCTATGCCGACAATACGATAAAAATGGTAAAATCACACGCGCGTCTTAAAATTGCGCGCCCACTCACCCTACCTACTCAAACAACTCCGCCTAGTACATAGGCAACACCCTGACCTGCGCGAACACTCAAAAAGTCTGAACCAACGACCCTTCTGCCACTTCCAAAAACCAGGGCGGATACCCTTGGGTATTCGCGCCGACAGTGGCTTGAGGAATCTCCATATGTATTCACGATGAGGATTACGACCAACTCCTGCCTGACGTGGCCGGGAGGGTCCCGCGCTGCCTTGTGAGGTGCCAGACTTATGCGCTCGACACTGCGCCCGGCCCGGCCCAGCCCAGCCCAACCTCACAGTCACATTACGGGCTGCTAGCCTGCGCCTGCACGGTATGTCAGTGATGATCTCGACGGGCTCCTGCGCTGATGGAGTAGCAGTAGGGCGAGGCATTTAGGCCATGAGGGATAGGCGATAAGGGAAACTCGTCTCAAACTTTCTCAGGGCTGCACACTTTACACAACGCTTGCACACTGCTTGAGGTATTGGCGCTGTGAACAGCCTAACCTTTGTTCCCCCGAATAATGGTAATCTTTCTGTCTAAATACAACTATAATGACCGTACGTTGTATTCAGGGAAAGGAGTGACAAATTGATATGAACTTCACTAAAGAAGGGGTGACAAATTGGTGTGAACTTCACTAAAGAAGGGGTGAGAGACAAATTGGTGTGAACTTCACTAACCAGATCTACCTCGCCCTACCACTCACCAAATGGGAAGAAGGGATAACCTGATCAGTCTCGCCCTACCACTCACCAAATGTGAAAACGAAACTACCGCAGGTGTATCTCTGGAGGTTCTACCTGGGGCGAGGTCCCACCAGCAAAGAGGGTTGGGTTGACTGCCTGCATCGAGATTGAACTGCTTTCTGCAACTCTGCTTGAAACACGTCCAGATTCAGGAGCTTAATCCAATCCTCTTTGCTAGTGGGACTCTTTGCTAGTGGGACCTGGGCCCTGGAGATACATTCTCCATTTTGGACATTTTCTTAGTGGTGTGGCGAAGGCCAAAAGAAAAAGATTTTGGGGGGCTCGTATGAAAAATTGAAAAAGAAAAAGAAAAAGGAAAAAAAGAAAAGATTTGGAAAAGATTAGGGGGCATGCCCTACGTAGTTCCTCGGTCGAGCGCCGCATGCGATACTCGATCGCGGAATCGAGTGATGGTTGTTTACGGTTGGTGTCGGGGAACTGGTAGCCATCTGGGACCCAGAGGAAGAGTTTGAGGGGCCGAAGGCTGGTCTCCAGGAGAGCAATCGACTTTCAGCTGTCAGCTGTGGCGGCTTTGGAGCCGTTTTCAACTTCTCCCTCCAGTGAACGAAACAAACATCTTTCTTTTGTTTTTCCTACTTTGTTCGACTATCGGCTATTGCGTCGATCGGTCGTCTGCAGTCGGCTATTTTGCTGCGATCGGTCGTAGCAGAGCGGTTGTAACGTTGTTTATTGTGCTATTGGCTATTCCATCGCAAGCTTGTGTTTTGGGCTATTTGGCTATTCCATCGGGTCCTCGCAGCGCCGCCGGAACGTTGTTTTTTTCTTTTTCGGCTCTGGTGGTGGTGGAAACCAGCGGGTCGCCCGTGGCAGCGCTGGAGAGATGTTGCTCTCTGCGGGCTCTGGTTATGCGCGCGAGGCTGGCCTTGGCTAATGCACCAGGGGCCCGCGGCGTTGGGGTGTGTTGATTTTTTTCGAGGGAAACGGCTCCTGTAGGTTGCCAGGGTTGATACCGTGACGTTGCCCCGACCTGCGGCCCTCTGCTGTTTCCCTACACGTAGGTAGCCATCGCTTCGATAGTGTCGCGGGTGTAACGGGAGTGAAAAGCCGGCATCACTCGCGCACATCGAGGAAAGGAAACCATCGTCACTGTAGAGAGTGGTCGCGGTTCTTGTTGGTCAGACGCCGGCGGAGCAAGTTTGTGAAGAAGGAGGGTTCGATAACGCAGAGGCCTACGTGCGGCGGCGGTCTGTTAGGTCAATTTATGCTGTTACAGGTGTTCCAAGGGGGTGAATAGCGTATACGCAATTGCTGCCATATCTGTCGTACAAAATCTGTTGGAGTCGTCTTCCGCAGCGGAGCTCCTTCCGTTGGCACATAAGTCGCGCCTCGTTTGGCTGTGGAGTGATTAGAGTCCTGTTGGGGGGAATAGGTGCTGTGAGAGCGGCAGTTATGGCGGCGGCGGAAGTCTCCGGGGCTTCTGCGATTGAGAAGCTGTACGAGTACGGCGACATTTTGCAACGGGCTGATGACAAGTCCAAGCACGAGGCAGAGTACTTGGGCATCATCGCTGGTGCGAAGGGCGACAACAAGGCAAAGCAGTTGTCAGCGCAGCTTATCCCGAAGTACTTGAAGTTTTACGAAGGGCTGTCGTCCGAGGCGATCAATGCACAGCTGGACCTTTGCGAGGAGGAAGAAGTTGGGGTACGAGTGCAAGCCATTAGAGGGTTGCCGATGTTATGCAAGGACACGCCACAGCACTTGGAGAAAATCGCTGATGTTTTAGGTCAGCTTCTGCTCGCGGAGGATAAGATGGAACAGGATTCCGTAAAGAAGGCGCTGATGACTGTCCTGCGGCAGGATGTGAAACGTACGCTGCAAGCGTTGTTCGCACACATCGAGAAGGGAGAGGAGAACGTGAGAGAGAGGGTTCTGCAGTTTGTGAAAGACAAGGTTTTTCCGGCGAAAACGGAGCTCCTGAAGCCCGAGGAAGAGATGGAACGGTTCGTGACGGATCTCATTAAGAAGAGCTTGGAAGACGTCACGGGGGCCGAATTCAAGATGTTCATGGACTTCCTGATGTCGCTGAACATGTTCGGCAAGGGTGCGGCTAAGGAGAACGTGCAGGAGCTGCTAGATGTGGTCGAGAAGCAGGCTGATCTATCCTCGCCCTTCTCTCCGTCTGACTCGGACAGCATCGATAAGCTGCTCGACTGTCTGCAAGCCTCTATCCCGCTGTATTCGAAGGGCGCTTCCAATTCCAAGTTCGTGAATTACGTGAACAAGCAAGTTATTCCGCAGCTGGATAAGGTAGCGGTTGACAAGAAGACGAGTTTGATGAAGGCGCTAGCGGAGACGGCGCCGTTCACGAGCGCTCAAGATTGCCGTACGATTCTTCCCAGCGTTGTCGGCCTTTTGAAGAAGGAGATGCCATCGAAGAAGACGACTGACGAATTGAACTTCTCTCACATCGAGTGCCTGCTGTATACCTTCCACAAGCTCGCGAGTAAGACGCCGAACACGACAAATGCACTCTGTGGGTTTAAGATCGTTACGGGTCAGCCGTCCGATAGGCTTGGCGAGGACTTCAGCGAGCAGAACAAGGATTTGACGGAGAGATTAACGGTGGTCGAGGATATGGCTAAGGCAAAGAACAAGAAGGTGACTCAGGAGGTGGCGGAAAACAAGCAGGCGCTGACAGCCGCGAAGGAAGAGCCTGCCAAGGCCGAGCTGAAGGTCAAGATTGCCACCGAAGCAGCATTGCTCAAGACGTGTAACAATGTCTTGACGCTTGCGAAACCTCTGCACAACAAGGCGCCGTCGTTTTTCGGGGAGGGGCACTCCTTCACGTTGTCTTGGAAGGAACCGGTCAAGCCCACGCCTGCGCCGCAGGCGCAAGGGGGCAATACAGGCGGAGGAGGGGCGGCGAAGCGAACCGGGGCCGCTGTGAACGGCACGGTTACCAGTCCCAATGCCGGTAAGAGGCCGAAGACGGCCGTTGGAGCGCCAGGGGGGCAGGCGCGGCAAGCGGGGAATGGCGCGGCCATGGGCGGCGGAGGGCGAGGGCGGGGGAGACCCGGCGGGAGGGGAGCGTGGCGAGGACGTGGTGGCCGTGGCTTTTGGTGAGCGCGGGACAGTATTGTGAGGGTTAGCGACCCGATATCAATTTCTGTGCTTATTTTCGTTTTGTCTTCGTGTGACACACCTACGCAGGACCCTCGCAAGCATGTCAGCCTTTCGGCAAAGCCAATAGTGAGAATGACGGCGAGAAGCCTCGTATGTAACTTTCTTTTGTTCCTTTCTGAAGTATAGTGGAATCGTTCCGTTATGAGCTCTTTTTGAAGCTTTAGTGTAGTAGTTTCTTTTTAAAATCGAATAGGAATGGCGGAAAGTGGGAGGGCGGGTGGTTGCTGTACGGCGATGGTGGGGCTGCGTAACGGTAAACCGTCATCGGCGGCTGTACCGTAGTTCTTTCTGTTTTGTTTGCTTGCTTTCCTAAATTTTAGACAACAAGAGACGGATGTGTGCAGCGGTGAGGTATGTGCAGAGATTACGAAGCAAGTGGAGCGGTGTGGTGCGTGCGGCGAGGTGCGGTGCGGTGAGGTGAGGGAAAGCAGATGGGGCTGGAGTGTGGGGATGTTGTGGTGTGGGGTTAGGGAAAGGGTGTGCATGCACGGACCCCTTGCAGCAGCGGTGAGAAGGAGAGATGCAGGGAGGGCGAGGACGGGGTTTCTTTCGTCGCTTTCCCAGATCAAAACATCTACCTCTCTCTCAAACAGCTTTGTGCCAGTGGTTTCTTGACTTGAATGTAAAGAAATGAGGTGACTACGTTGTACGCACACGATGTCTGCCGAATTTCGTTGGGTTTCGTTCGTTGCGTCGTTTGTTCCTGTTTGGGTCCCTCGTCGCCTGTCCTCGGTCGATTGTTATGCGTTGATTGTTTTCATTGTTGTTTTGCATGCATTCAATGTGATTTTCCCATTATTCGCTGTGCTGACATGCTGTGACAAAACAACCAACCAACGAACCAAAGAGGACTTGCGAGGCTCATCGATCACACGATCGATCGGTCACATCAGTTGTGAGTAATGTACACACGCTGTCGAACCAGTTGTCGGCGGAGCCTATGGCTGCCGTTACTCTTTACTGGTGTTGTTGGATTGGAAATCTGTTACTCGAATTGTTTCGGCTGTTCAGGTGACTGGTAGCTTGTGTTTGTGCTGTTGTGGGGGGCGGGGTCCCGTCAGCACGTTAACCTCCTGCCTTCAACGCGTAACTCTGGCAGCATCTGTCAGCACTGGTCTTACTGATTGACCACCAGGAGGAGGAAGGGCTTGGTATTTCTGAGTCGTTAGGGTTCACAAGAACCCTTGTCTATGCTACGGTAGTCTTCCTGTGACTCGTGTGCTGCACGAGGTTCTAAGAAGATCAAATGGTACGTTGTTTTACTGATTGATCACCACGGGGAGGAAGGGCTTGTATTTGTTAGTTAGTCGTTAGGGTTCACAAGAACTCTTGTCTATGCGACGGTCGTCTTCCTGTGACTCGTTTGCTGCACGAGGCTTGAAGATCAAATGGTACGTTTATTTTACTGCTATCGGCGTCGCCTTCGTACTGGCGCTTCCGCCGGAAGGTTTGCAGGACTGGTGTTATGAGGGGTGGTAATCTCAAAAGCTGCTTCTTTCGCTTATACTGTCGAAAATGGTGAACTCGTTCGTCCATAGAAAGGAAGAACGTCGTTCGTCGGCTTGTCGTGCCTTTAGGGGAACACGATAACGCTACTTCCCATTGAAAACTCGGACGAGACCAATTGTTCTCAGTATTCAGTATTCTTCTAGGGGGTGGGTATTTCGTTCATTCAAGTCTCTAACCACCCTCTCTAAGGGAAGTGGTGCGCCGCTGCCCTGTGGAGGAGGCTTGTTGTATGCTTGCGATGTTCTTGATGTGGGCGCAACAGCTGTCGTTAGTGATTTGCGGGGTTTGGGAAGTGTATGTGGGGGGGATTGCGACTTCCGCAAATCCGCGTATGGATCCTCGGTGTTTGATCGATTGTCGACCTGCTCGCACTCGTCACTGCTAGCTATTGGGTTCTCTAATCCCCCCTTCTGTTTTTATCGGCAGGGGGAAGGGAGGTTGGTTGTTTCGACAAGGTAGAGAAATTGCTCTGTTGTGTGGAGCGTTTTAGGGTTTCCTCTTTCGAGTTCCCTTGCCGGCGGATGGGGGTAATACAGTAAAAGTGAAATTTCTTGGCGTTAACGTTAAATTTTTTCCGTTTCATGCGAGCAATGTCATCTCTTCCGCGTGGCCAGCTGTCTCGGAAATTAATTGCGAGAAAGGCGTAGTAGCGGTGGAGGCGCAAGGATTGTGTGACTCTGTTCTAGGGTTTGCCGATGTACCGGTCGCATCAGAAGTCGAGTTCAAATAGATTGTAGCGGTCCAAAACTGCACCCGTTCCTTCCACTCCCTATGGTAAAGCCGCTACGTAAATCTCCCTCTATGCCTCCGTGAGGTGCCGGCTGTCGCCGTGCTTTCTCGTTTGTAACGTAAAGTGAGATGTTTTTTGTTGCCTCCACCGATGCATTTTTTGCGGTAAATGAGGAAGCTGTAGTCCTGTAGTTACTCTTCTGATAACCGCAGCAGAAAAAGTAGTCGTTCTTTGACGGAGGGCTTGACAAGTTGTGTTCCGAGTTCAGGCGACTAAGTCTCCAGGCCGAAGGAAACGCCGACGCGGCACCCGTTTGTTGGTCATCTTGTGCCCGCCCTCACCTCTGCAGTCGTCGGATTTCGAGGCGCCGTTTGTTGAATCGGCGTGTGGTCATTCGGGTGGCGTAATCGCGATTGCGGCCGAGGGTGGTGGTTGGTCTTGACCATGTCTGCAACTATCCGTCGTTGCATCAGAGCACCATTTTCAAATTGAAGAGTGTACGTCAACGAATCAAGAGAACGAGTGCTTATTTCTTTGCTATAGGGTAACAAGGGGAAGAGCGAGCGACGAGCAAGCGGACTAGTTTAGCAGCGTGGACGATGGAAGAGTCTTTCGCGGAGCACGTTTTGCTGTGATCGGAAGTCTTTGACGATATCGCAATAATGGCTGCATGTTGTGAAGGTACGTGTCACGCTTTTCATTCTCTTGTTGTCGTTTTTTTTTGTGCTCCTTTTCCCGGAAAAGAATTTGTGTTTTGAGTGTTGTTTTTGTTCGACTGGCGAAATCATGTTTTTTCCACTGACCTTGTCTGAAGAGAAGTTCGGTTCTCTTTCGCTCAATCCCAGTCGACGGTTTCGTTTCGTTTCGTTTTGTGTGAAGTTGTCCTTGGTGGTGCTGTGCTTCGTTTGAGCGTCGTCGGATTGTTTATGTGCGTCGTAGTTGTGTCAGGATTCTCCTTCTCGCCTTCGTCCGTTGCTGCTCGCAATTTTCGGAAAATTTTGTTTTATTCCACCGCCGGGCGATGCGCATAGTCTCATCAGATTGGATTCATTGTTTGCGGCTGCTGGTATAATATTGGCCTGCTCTCCTTTCGTTGCCCGTTGCCGCGGTTGTTGGGATATTGGTCTGCTATCCTTGCCCATTGCCAACCTGCATGGTTACACTAACGTGGAAGGCGCGTGATGTGCGCCTAGATCACGGAGAGAGCAGAATTGAAGCCGGTACTCAAATCTATGTTGGCACGTGTAGTTTCGAGTGTGTGTACCAGTCGCGTTCGTTTTGTATGGCGCGGCTATATGTTTCGGTCGCCGTGTCGCTCGTTTGAACGTTGGTCGTCTGTAGTTTCTGAGGAAGCTCGGTACGGCCTGACTCTCCTTTCGCTGTAGAAAATTGAAGACTGGTGTGTTGTTGTGTTGTCTCCCGCATCTTTTTAACCTCTGTTACGAACGCAGCAGGTCACGCGGTCCACTCATTTTTCTCTTATACACCGTTTGTCACCGTCAAGCCTTCTGTGCAGCGAGAAGTGTGTAAGGTATATATGCGTAATCCTTTATTACAATGTCATAGTCGAGCGAAGGGTCGGCGCATGTATATGCCGTCGAGCGTTAGCCGGGCCTATTAGGTGTTTTCCTTTGTCGTGATCGTGTAGGAATCCATCGACCTACCTACAGCGACAGAACGCACCGTTCTTTTGACTGTATTAGGCGGTAAAGATGGGTGTATTCCGGGGAAGACGGTAGCTTCTGTCTTCCCCCGAATACAACGTGAGGTCGTTATAGCTGTATCTGAGTCACCTTATTCAGTGTAGATACAGCTGTAATGACGTTACGTTGTATTCAGGGGAAGAAGGTAGGCATTAATAAGCGACCCGAGGTGTGTGAACAGTTGCTGTCGGCAGAACCAATACTGAGTGGCGCTGAAGGCACTCGGTATTCTCTTCTTAGCTTCGTTGAAACTTGAAGCAATGGTTAGGAGTAGTCAGGTCTAAATCTTGTCCTTTCTAAAAGGATAGGATAGGATGTCGTGTTTGAAGTACCGTAAACTATATAGCGACCCTCTTCTGACTGAATAAGTATATGATGTTTAAGCAGTTGTATGTAGTGCTGGAAACCAGGTCGTACGGACGCTTTTTTAATGAAAATGTACGGACTATGCAGTTGATCTAGTTGTGAAACAAGAGGATATGGTGTGTTGTTATGTTGTAAATGATGTAACGATCCTCTTTTGACTAAGTTTATTTTATGCTGGACCAAGCGTATGAAGTACTGCAAACTATGTTGTACGGACGCTGTTTCGATGTTTTGAAGCAATTGGATATGGTGTATTAATTACTGTACTGTGACGCTATATATACTGACCGACCTAGAATATGTACGATTAAGTGTATGAAGTACTGGAAACTAAGTTGTACGGACAGTCTTTTTATCAAGTCTATTTTCACCAAGTACTGGAAACTATATTGTGCGGACGCTCTTTTGATTAACCGTACGAACTGTACAGATATTCTCCGGATGGTTTACGGCGCTTGTGCTCAATGTTGATGTGAAATAATTCCAGTAGCGATAATTTTTCGCTGTCGCTCAACTTGTCGGAGGTTCGTATGAAGTGGTGCTGCTTGGATTTCATTTTTCCCTCGCGACAGATGGCTCAATCAGGCCGCCTCTGGTAGAGAGAGGCGGATTCCTGAGGTTGAACATCCCAAGATCTGTTAGTCGTAGTTTATCCGCCGTAGTTTATCCGCCGAATCCCTTTTTTGCGAATCTTTTTTTTAATACCTCTTTGACGATTGGACTTGGAGCGAATGCGGTGCGTTTTCGTGGTCAGTTAAAAACCTGAGTATCGCTAATTCTGCTTGTCGATTTCGGTTTCCCCTGATGACGAAAGTGTGCCCCTCTTGCTCGAAAGTAAATAAATGGTACAAAGGTTAAGAGTGTCTTCCGAAGTCCGTCCCCTGCGCGAACTCGGATCTTGTTCTCCTGCTTGCAGGACTTGTGTCCTGCGTCAAGGACTCGTCATTTTCTCGACCTACACCTCGTTATCTAGCAAGTGCTTCGATGAACACTACGGGCCAAGCATGAGAAATGGTTTGTGGTTCTGTTGTTGGATCTGGAAAGATTCATTCTTCGTTCCAGATTCATTCTTCGTTTCCCGCATTTGGCGAGAAATGGAGCCCAGATTCGTTCTTCGTTTCCCACATTTGTCGAGAAATTTGAGCCCAGATTCATTCTTCGTTTCCCGCATTTGGACGAACTTCCCTCTGGTGTCGGTGAGACTTCGCATGTCTCCTCATGTATGGACCTCTACTGTAGTTGCACGGGTAGCAATCCACGGCTCGCAATCCGTCAAAATATTGAACGCATCTGGACGTGATTTTTTCCAGATGCGTTCAAAATCTTGGGGGATGGCGAGTGTTGCAACTACCTACAGCCTATGTGTATAACGGTTGGCTTGTGTCTCTGACATTCCTGCGACGTCGGTGCTTGATTTTTTTTTTGTACTTCTCGTTTTTTTCGCTTTTTTTTCGGTCTTTTGCTGCTGCCGTCAGCGCCTGCTATGGGGGTGACGTTTCTCCAGAACGATCTGTGCCACCTGCTATGTGTTGTTCGTACTCGAGGCCACCTGCTTGACGTCGAACGCGTTTTCGTGTTTTTCGTTTCTTTTCGGCGTATTTTTTCGTCCTTGCTCTTGTTGTTTCGCCCCTGCACGTGTCTGACTTGTCAGATGGGCAGTCGTGACGGCGGTGTATGTGAATTTCTCTCGATTGACTCTATGGCGTTTCTGTGTTGCATACGCAAGGAAGGGGTTATTGGTCTAAGGGGAAACTTGCGGTAGGACTCTCCAGAAGTATCTGACCGTGATTGAGGCCAGATTGGATTTCGAGGAAGTCCTAGCGTATTTTCCCCCTGCTGATTTTGACGTAAGTGACGGCCGAGGTGAATTCGTTCAGTAGCAGTGGCGTTCAGAAACGAACGTGTTGCCCTGCTGTTTTGGAAACCTTATTCTCTGTGTAACTTGTCCCCCGCCGCAACGGGATTTTTTGTTCATGAACCGGCGATGCAAGAAACAAGCACGTAACGAGTGTCGAAGCTGGCGGAAAAGTAGACGTTAGATGGAATTCTCACGACTTCATAGCTGTTCTCGTGTTGCAGGATATATGGTTTTCTCAAGGGTTTACTACTAACCTGGTCAGAATTGCAGTCATATCCATCTCAGGAAGTCCTAATTGGTGTGAAAGTGCCCTTTAGATTCGTAACGTACGGGCCTCGGTAATGTCGATATGCCTCATTGCAGTCCGCGTTAAAGGCGAACGACGTCTCGCACATTACGAGTGTGAAGCTGACCGCACGTGAACGTGCAAGGCGAATGCATGCCTATAGATCATACTGTATGTTCGTGATTCGATCTGTCTGACGAGACGTTTGATAGATCTTGACGTCTCTTGGCAGCGCTTTGGATCGGGGGCTCGTACTGCTCCCATTTTTTTTAATTTGCTTCCAGTGCGTCTACCACCTTCCCTTGCTCTCTTCTTCTTCAATTTAGAGGGCGTGCTTGGTCTTTTGTGCGAGCTCGTCGGTGCAAACGCGAAAGTTGTCTTTGACAACCGACTCCATACGTGCTATGTGGAATCGCACTCCTATGTAGTCAGACAATCCGAATCCAGTTCGGTGAATCTCTCCATCCACGTGGGCGGCCTTGTACGCAAGAGGTTCTGAACAGGGGGATTTGTAAGGAAGAAAGAAACGAATTCATTTTTTCCTTTTCGTTTTCCTTGTTTTCGCTTTTGTGCTCTGATATTCTTGTGACAATACATTAATTTATTCCTGCTCGTAGGTAGTCTATTCTGCCTTCTCGAGCCCCTTCAGATTGGATGCTTGCTGAGTATCCCTGTTTGAAACGACAGAGATCTGGGGGAGTCGGACCCCGGACATGCCCGTATCATCATTAAACTAGGTCAGCGTGAGGGTTGGATTACGGTCACTGGAAATTATTGGGCTCTTCTAGTGACCTGAGAGCCGGTTCACAGGGCGGTTGAGGTCAGTGTGAGGGTTGGGTTACGGTCACTGGAAATCATTGTGCTCTTCTAGTGACCTGAGAGCCGGTTCACTGGGCGGTTGAGGTCAACGTGAGGGTTGGGTTACGGTCACTGGAAATCATTTGGCCCTTCTGGTGACCTGAGAGCCGGTTCACTGGTCCGTTGAGGTCAGCGTGAGGGTTGGGTTACGGTCACTGGAAATCATTGGGCTCTTCTAGTGACCTGAGAGCCGTTTCACTGGGCGGTTGAGCGGGCGGTTCATGGTGGCTAGAAGCCAAGCGCTTGGGCATCGCCGTACCAATTCTCGAAAGTTGCAAAATGACAATGAACTTCCCGTTAGAACATGGCTAGATGCACCCGCCACATTTTTGTCTTTTTCGCATTTCGAGGGTGGTGTGGATAGAGCATTTTTCCGAGACTGAACAAAAATATCGCAAATGGAAGACAAAACGTAAGAATGCGAAGTGAGCAGAAATCATAGCCCGAAATGACGGGCAACCTCTTTATGCTGAAGAAATCGGCGTTTTATCTCCGTTGCTCTCGAAGTCTAAAATAAAAGAATCTGCGTAGTTTGGCAGCATGCTCAGTTTTGCATGACGGCTTGAGACTGTCGGTGAAGCTTTTCGAACTGAGCATGATGCCGAACGTC